CCTGCTGGATCGTACGATAATTGAGATCAGGGTACTTGGCCTTAAGCCTTTCGAGCCTCCGACGATCGGCCAATCCCCTCGATAAGCGTTTATTATGAACGAGATTCTCAAGATCGGCGACTACATCGCCCTTGGCTTCGTCCTTTTGCTAACTTCCACCTCCCTCTCTCTTACTCGACCTGCTCTCCTTCCGGTTTCTCTCTGCGGGCCAATCCTCTTCAGGTTGCGAGATTGCGCCGGTAATTGCCCCTCGATTTCACCTACGTACACACGGCTTTCTATTGTTGCACATGAGCATACGATCTCTCGTGTGTACATATGCGAAGGGAAAGGGTGGCGAAGCAGAGGCGGAGGGAATGGCGGAGCGATGGCGAGAGAGAACGAGGGTGGAAACTCTGTGGGAGGAAAGGGAAGAGCGAGCAATCAGTGACGAACTCTCGAGACTGTTCCAGCTGATTGCAATTAAGAGGATACCAAACCACCATCGACGTCGCTACTTGACCGTTCCCGTATTAGCATCTATAGAATCGCGTAGCTCGTAAAAGGGATCAGCAGCCTTGGGAGAGAACCGGCCGAGCAACTCTGGCCACGGATTTATTCCGGTAGTTTCCAATCGAATCCGTGCGAAAATACGAAGCACGCGAAAAGGACGATATAAGGAGAGAAGGAGGAGGAGGAGGAGGAAAGACATCGGTGAGAGAAGGTGTTTCTATCGGCGGATATGAATTGTATCTTGTTCGAGGAAATCCAAAGTAATATCGCGGACGGTATACGTGCTTGGAAATCCTTTTAATGTGTTCGCGCGGGAAATGGAATAATTTTCAGTGAACGGACGTTGGACGCGTTTCCGTGGTAATCCGGATCGAAAGCGATCGGTCACGGAGGCGAAAGAGATTCGCGTGCGCGTTTCATTAATTGAAAACGGCTGGACTGGGACACGTAAGTCGCCTTAGTCGGAGAACCGACAGCGCAACATCGATTCGGGGTTAGCTTTACGTTGAAATTAATCCTGGTGAGCCAAAGTTAGATCTGGCTCCGGCTAAGCCGGGCTTTTTGGTGACTTAGTCGGCCATATGACATCGAAGCTCCGTCTTACTTGCAGTCCGATATCCGCGCGACGCATGACTGAAACTTCCCCGATGACTTTTCCCTTTCGCCTATACACGGTACTCCGTGGCGTTCGTGAATCGTGGTATTCGTCGCGACGAGGAATTTTATTTGTCCGGGGAAAAAGGGAAGGAAAAGAAAGGAAAAAGGAGCAAGAGGTCGACGCATCCTCGCGTCACGTCGCATCGCGGCGCGCCGCGACGACGACGTCGTATAAACGGGGACGCAAAATTTCCACGATTCCGAGAGAAAGATAATGGGGAGAGATGATCTTTATCGACACGCGATCATTCGGTGGCACGAGAAAGTGGTTTTTTCCGCGTTGCGGAAGTTGGGGAGGACGAGAGTCTTGGCGATCCGGCGCGTTAAGACCGATTAGCGATCTAAACTTCGATGAACTCCGAGTTCGGCAGCCCGCTGGGATATGCGATTTCCCCTGTTGGCTCTCTTCGGGAATCCCGTTAGACCATCCTCGAGGATCGACGGTATAAGGACCGGTTTATCTTTAGTACCCCGGCGCCAGACGTTTCTTCGCGTGGAACTCGATTAAACTTCCATTGCAACTTTTACGAGACATTGTCGGGGCTCAGGAGGGTATACGATCGCAAACTGCGTCCATTTCCCGGGGCAAGAAAGAACCTGCAATCTGCTAAAAACTAGTAATTGATTAAAAAATTGCAGCCGCGGACGGTAACGCGGATGGAAGGGAAGAGAAGGGAAAAGCTGGCAAACTATCTACGTGATTTAGGTGAATACCGCGTCGTGAAACGTGCCGCGAGAAATATATTTCCTCGTTGTTCCAAGGGAACAGTGCTTCCACGGTGCAACTTTAACGAGAATCCGTCGACGCTTTCGAAGAATATACGATCGCGAGCGACCGTGACAGCCGCCTCGAGTAAATCGCCGTAATTGATCCGAGAAATTATCGTAACGATGCAATTACCGGCATCTGCCGGGAGGAGAAGTTACGCCGCTGAAATATCGCGCGGCATTCCGAAAGAATCGCGTATCAGTCTCGCGGCCACGAACAAAGCGGATAATAATACCTCTAACGGTGTACGACGAAATAAAACCTCCCAGTCCGACACGCAACTTCCCGCGTCTCGAATCATCTCCAACCATCTCGACTCGATGGTCGACGGTTCGATGCTTTTACGACAACTCCTACACCGATGCCGAGGACTTTCCTGTCACTCAACCGCGCACACTCGTATATTCCTGCGACGTCCTCGGAGACTCGGCGAGATCCCCGTATATACGGTCTATTCGCGGATGCTCGCGCGAGATTCGCAGCGGAGATATCGCGCAACGGCATGCCAATAAAACGCAAGTACCTTTACGAGTGCGTCGCGATAAGTGCAATAACCGCGTTTCGTCCCGGCGCAACCTGTTTCGCGTCGATTTCCGCCTGTTTCGAGATTTCGCCGATAGTCGGCCATGGATCCACGTGCCGATCCATCGTCGCATAAACGGAGAAGCGAACGCGAAGCGTTACGACACGCGTACCTAGCCCAACGCGGGTTAAGGACGCCGGAGAAACACGAGTGCCTACGGTGGCTGATTAAACCCTAGGTTTTACGGGCATTACGAGCCCCGGCAAAATACCTAGCAGCGTCTAAGTACGCGCGCGCGCTTACCGGCTTCGATCTGTCCGTGTACGTGCATAAATACGCCTGTATTATGCATAACACGTATACGTCCGATTTTCGTTCTCGCGCCTTGCCCCCCGCGCCGCCTCGTGCTCAATTTCGACCCAGCCTTTTACCAGTGCAGCGAAAGCCTTCCAACCTTTTGTTAAACTTCGCCGAGAAAGTTTTAGCGGAGAAAGAGGCCACGATCGTCGCCGAAATATTCGGAACCACGGCAGCGAAGATCTTCGCCGATCTGGAATCCCGGTTACCCGGCAACCGGGCCGAAAACTTTGGACAAAGTGACGCGTTTCGAATCACGGCAATGGCGGCGTCGGTGGTGGTGGTAGTGGTGATGTGACGGTGGTCGTAGCAGAGACGGCGAAGGGTGCCGGTGTGGGTGCAACGCGGAACGGCACGCGCACACGTACCCTCCGCGAGTTAAGAATTAAAAACGTTCGTCACGGGAGGCTAACGAGCATGCCGGCGCTCTGTCCCACTTAAACTGCCGTGCACAGTGGAGCACAGCTGGCCAAGCCGCGCTGGAAGAATACAGTTTTGTTAATTATCCGACGAAAACAGCAGGCCAGCTCCCACGCCCGGCCACTATCAACTAAAACGTCACGTGCGAGAAAACTGCGGGCGCGAACGCGAACCAAGAATTAGCCTGCAAGATTTCTCCTTCCCTTTTTCTCCGCGGATCTGCTATCTACGTCCGCGGTAGGGCATCGAGTTTCCATCTCCGAATATCGATGTTGCTCGTCGACTATTTCTACGGCTATTTGGCGAACGTGACTCGCGTGGTAACGTTTTACCCTCTCTCGCGAGACGAGTCAACCTCCGTTGACTAATACCCGCGGCACCGGTGTTCCCCTTTCGGGGCAACCTTTCCCTCTAATTTTTCGCGGACAAACATTTGAATCGAGTCCACAGCCAACTGGAATCCACATAGAGGCGTTTGCACAGGCTGTTTTCTCGGACTTGCGTGTACGGTTTGCAGCGGCGCGTTGCCGGTAGGAGGGGAAAAAGTAGAGGATAGTAAATAACCAAGAGAGTAAAGCCGTGTATAGCGAGGTAGATCTTTGGCTCCGCATCGCGTCACGAGCTATGGTTGATCCTTCGCTCTAACTCGGGTTTGCCTCGTTCGTTGGTTCCGCGATGGATCCGGGACCAGGTGAAACGCGAACGGGGGCGGAAAAAAGGGTCCTCTCCGAGGTGATAAATCCGATAAATAACGAGTGACGAATATTTTCCAGCCACGACCAGCGTAATGGCAATGTGGCAGAGAGGAAGGAGCAAACCCTTTAATTGGATAGTTCGTTTAATTAACTAGTCACACGGAACTCGTTATCCGGGAGACAATTGTAGGCAAAGTATCCTTTTAATTGAAGTATCCCGGTGACAGGAGTGTTCGGTAACCGGTTTAATCGAAGTTCCATCGAAGAAAATGGTAACGAACCAAGCTCGCGGGACGAG